ACGACAGGTGATACAGGTGATATATATAACTATATTAATTTATGTAACTAGGCAAGCCTTCATCTCGTTTATGTAAATTGTTACTTAGCTTCTCAAACTCTGCAAAGTGGTCCGTTAAAAAACCTAAAAGGTTAGTTTTAAGGTGCTCGTTGAATCAAAGTTACTCAGAGCATATCGCCAGCAACAAGGCTCACTACGATTAGAACAGAATGCAGTGAAAGCACTCATCCTTTTCTAGCAGTAAAGCTTTTCTTCCTTATTTGGTTTTAGAATAGAGCTCGAAACGGTAAGCTGGCTGCTAAACAGGGGAACTGTTCTCATTCCACGCCAACAGTTTCTCGTCCCCAAAAAGATTCTAGAATTGAACTCAAGATGGAAAAGTGGATACCGTGCTGGATAGCATGCTAAATTCGGTGTCAGCTTTTGTTCGAAATTCTCACTTCCTGACTTTCTTTTGGCTATCATTATATCCAGCGTCGTTGCTTACGGAGTGCCTTCGATATTTTCGAAGGGAAGAGCATTCCAGTTTTGATTCTTTTTTCTACAAATCACTCTGAAGACCAATTGAATTACAACAAAATTATGGGAATCCTGCTAGTTATGCCCTTTTTTTTAGAAAAAAATTGGAAAATCTCCGTCGTCTGGGGAAGTGAAATCCGTTCGTATTCATGACACGTATTAAAACCATTCCCTGCCCAAGACGTTCGGTGATCTTTTGAGTATTTGTTGATAGAAACCCGTTACCAACAAGAAATTATTGGCGGATAGAGCTGAAACCAATTTGTTCATTTCTCAATGGAGGATTTCATTCAAGAGTGTCGACGAAGTAGTGAGTTAGGGAAGCACAGAGTGGAACAGCATGATGGCAATGATTTCAACATCAGGTGTGCGATATTGGCTCACGAGACGGAAATATCGTCGAGGAAAGCGTTGGAAGCGTTCTGGATTTTAGCTAGAAACCCAGATATGAACAGCCGAAATGAGTGTGTCACAATCACGAATGATCTCTTGCCATTTATGCAACACTGCGAGTTAGTTCCATAATCAGCGAACGTGCTGATCCTCAATAATAATATTATTGTATAGGGACAGCGAAGTAAGATCATTCGTTACTAATGTACTAACCGTGTAGCGTAGTGCTACACTTCGCGGTGGAAGTTAGTTGAGCTTATCTTTTTAATTTCGAGCGTTCCCGTGCATTCCTGATAGAAGGTCAGAAATGCTAGAGCGGAGGAGGCGCTTGGTGGGGTAGTGTGCAATCTACAAGCTTTGAACCCTTTTCAGGCCTTTGAAAACGACGAGTCCGTCGAAATGTTGGCCAGAATAAAGGTTCCCACCTGACAATCTCGAGGCAGAAACAAAATTAACAATTTCGTACAACAGAAGTAGTGAGAGTTGTATAAAAGAGCATAAAAACGCAGAAGCTTTGGAATGAGAGCAAACTTTGTGATTCGTAATGGTCCAGAGTTTGTGGTGCATCCGATGTGGTACCACAGAAAAATGGTTGCTTCGGTTGTTTGCTCAGGAAAACATCAAAAAAGCTTCAGAGATTGTGGTGTTCTCGCCTAATGGTCGTAGTGACGTAGGGATGCTTCTACCGAATGAAAAATCCTTCACAAGTCACAAAGGACTGACCTTTATAATGAGCCAAACGCTACCATGGATTTTGCTAAACGCTAAACATTTTACAAAATTCATCAACAATAATCGCTTCTTGCAGCCTTCGGCTCATAGAAGTTTCAGTTACATCGAATTGGAAAGAGGTGATCATTAACCAGATAGATGTAGAGATTCCAGATATTCTTGGCCTTGATGAAAAGAAGGTCATCCCACTGAATGAGGACAGGAGAACAGCGAAACATCGTTTTTCATCGAGCAAAGGAGCCATGGTGCATCGCCGCATGGCAGAGATGGTCCCACAGATAGCTGCTTACACAGCCATGCTGCACATGCTTATGAAGCCCTCTATACCTTAAATGGTTTACCAGATCAAGACCAAACTACCATATCAAGCGCCGATTTTGACTGTAGAGATGACGGTAAATTTTATGAATACCTCTCGAGGGTCATCAAAAGTCGTTCGAAAGTTTTCGAAGAGGCTCAAACTGATGTTGATCATCGATAATCATCCTTAACGGCTTAGTTCACGATAATTTTGAGGTACTCATTTCTAGTTGAAAAGCGGAAGTATAGGATGGGAATAGTTCATCGGTAGTAAAAAAAAAACAAAACAGGTAAATTCTGCGATTTCGGGAGAAATAATGCTCCCAAAAAAGTGAAAATGGCGCTTGGACGAAATTACCATGACAGAAATAACATGGAAGAGGTATTATGACGAGATTTCAGTTGTTGTAATTGCGTAAAGAGCTGATTACACCAAGTCAGATTTGTAAGGACTGCCTTCCACTGTCGCTATGAGTCATGACAAGCTGTTTGAACTTCCTATATGGGTCTTCTCGTGATTGGTGCAGCCACTGCAGCGCCGGTGTAACTCTTACGAAGATACACACGGAGCAATCTTTGAGTCCTTATGACGCCCTATCTAGGCCGCTTTCCGAAATGAGTGCACCAAATATGGTATATGAGGGGGGGCACTCAAGCAAATTAATCCTAGGGAATATCTCATAAGCCATTTTTATCGTGAATCGTGCCTTCAAATAGAAGGGTTTCACAACGAAAAGTCAGAGGAGGCAAAAGAAGAGATAAAATTTCCAAACTTGCTGGCACCATACATTTCCTAACATTTCAGAAATTTTGAATTTGTTCCATTCCCATGCATACATTTCAATTCATCTCCTGCCTTTTTGAGAGCCAATGAGAGGCCGATGTGATCTCATATCGCCTGCCGATTCCGTTCTCGCAGGACCTCTTACTAAGATGTTATATCTTCCTGAAACACAAGAGCATTTCGTTTCATACTGATCTATTTTCAATCAAGCCTTTGTATACTGATGACCTCGAGACATTGGCCCTTGATGCTTTTTAGCCCTTCCGCTTGATGCTTTCTATGTATTACATATCTTGCAGAATTGTACAGCAAGTCACCACCAAGCCTCTTCGAATCCTCTTGTGCGACATCTGCTGGTTCAACAAATCGTTGAGATTTTTTGTACACCAATCTACTATACTTCAGAGGCCCTAGACAGCACAGCATCTTTGATACGAATTTTTGGCGTAATCTTTCGGAGGAGAAAACCCCGTACACTAGACGCCATGTCAGGGATGAAAACTCACAGAAGACGGCAGAAAGATTACCATTTATTGCCGATGATGACCTCATGACTCACCGATGTTGACGTTCACGACATGCATGAGCGCCGGTTTTTTCTGCGCCATCTGTCTGTTCTATCTCGATGAGAAGCCTTGATTTCCTAGCGGGATGACTGATTTGAACTAAATTTGATAAGATTCTTATGGTTAGATTCAAATGAGTTTTATTATCAATCCAACAAAAGAACTCCTTCTTAGACTTCAGCAGCGTTTGCATAAGTTTCGGAAACTGAAAACATCTCTGACAAGAGGGAATTAGAGAATTAGGGGAAGCGAAGAAGCGTAGTGTTCCTTCAAGCGGGACACAGTTGCCACCCCCGGCAAAGGTTACTCGGCGAAGAAGTGGGATCAACGTCCAAAAACTTCGCTTAAACAAAAGAGCAAGTTACGAAATTGATGTAAACGACTTGGTCGTTCTCCGTAACCTTTTCCTTTCAGTGCAGCTTCTGCTTGAATTTGTACCATCAGACAATCTGCAATCATTTTTGTATAAAAAATCAGCACTATCGTGAATGGATAAAGTCATGTCGAACTTGTATTACCAAAAGCGACGAACCACTTTTAGGGAACTGCAACAAATCTGGATCCCTAATAAAAACTCCCTTCTATTCATAGAGGAAGACTTACTGAAGAAAGAGGCGCGTCGTTGTTTCAAGACTCTTCTCACAGTTCTTCCTATGACTGAGAGCCACTTGACTACCGTGTGAGATTCATCTCCATGATAGGAAAACATGGTCACGATGTGCTCACTAATGGAACTGGTGGCTAGATGGACAACTGAACACAGAGTTCCTTAGATTAAGAAAAACCAGCCAGAAGTTGAGAAATGAAATATTTCCTGAAGAGAATTTAGACTCTCGAACAATACTGTAAAACCTTTGCAGCAGAGCCATACTTAAAAGCACGGTTCACGGTATAAAATGGTTTCGGAGATTTCTCCCTGGAAGAACATGTGACCCCAAAGGATAGCACAGGGCCGGCTGTCGGGTCGAAAACCGGGAGAGATAGGGCGTAACAAGGGTCCCAAAGTCGGATATCAGATTAGCCGCTGTACACACTCAAAGACCGATAAGTTTGCATGGCGCCGTAGAAGCTGTGGAGGTTCCACCAATCGCACCATGATGCACACGTCGCATGCAGGCAGTTGACTGAAGCCAGCTGTATAAGCAATGGCACTCACATTTGGACAACTCGTCCAACCACCCCTTCCATGTAACTTTTGTGCACACATTCTTGTCAACCCGTAATTTTACTTTTTTCGAAATCTCTCTATTATTTCTCTAACACGCCAGTTTTTACTATTCTAGACTATCTTTTCCATCATTCTTCGAAAAGTAGACATCGCGAAATTATCGTGAATTGATCCTTCTGGTACACAGGTGCGAGTCAAGATGTGCCACCGTGGTCGCTGGGTTGGAACTAGGTCACCGCACTATCTCATGAGGTATGACAACACCACCTCTAGAATTAGCTTTGGCGTTTTACCACTAATCGTTATTGTTATTTTTATGATAACTATTTCATTATTCGTTATTACTATGAATTGCTCGTCACAAAAACATCACAGCTGTAGATCACAACGGTTTATTTATCAAGAATTGGCACGACGGAATATGTACAATATGGGAAACGCATTATTAGGTTACGATCATGATATGGTGAAATGGAACGTCCAGTATTGGTAAGTCAGATCAACAAGTATCCGAGCGCTCATCAGTTTGATCTTCCCGTTATATCACATCTCCGGTCCGAACGTAGTATCGAAGCTGATCTTCCGAGTTTACCACAACCAAACGTCGTTTGACAGTGTGATCACCGCCCAACGCAAGAAGTTGGTGTTCCACTTGAATAGAAAAACGATTTTTGCGGGAAGAGTTTGTTGAATTGTGATTTTGGCTAACTTCTTTAGATTTCGAGTTGCTTACACCAAAACAAAAGCTTTGAAGAAAACGCACAGTTGTGTCCAGGCCGGTTGGTCAACATGTGTGGTGGGATTCCTATCTGACTTGCCAGTTTAGGATCCGCTTCCAGCGCGCGGCGAATTTCTTCGAGACTCAAACCACGTGCCTTACGCTTATCCGTTGGGCAACCTTCGACAGGCGGACAAACGACCTTAATACGAAAATTAGAGAGCCTAAGAGCCTCAAAAGGAGGAAAACTATCGTAAACATACCGTAGGACATGGGGCGAAGGGACAAATGCGTACAAGACACGAATACTGTACATGAGGTGTGCTTTGATAGCGGAAAGATTCAACATTTACCTAAATTAAAAAAATAAAAATAAATACATAGAAAAGTAAATAAAAATATATGAATAGAACTTTCGAAACACACCTTTACACCGAACTCTGATCGCTTAGGCGGACAAACCAACCCCACAAGGTCAGCTTGGCAGCCTTCACGAATAATAGGTAACGGTTCGCGTTCCCATTCGTATTTTGAATCAATGGGCTCTACCTGGCACTCCTGGACTGCCATATACTCAGCTGAAAGAAAAAAAAACTTTCAATTCGATGAGTACTCATTGAAAAGACTAAGAAAATTTGAAACCCTAGGCTTACGTGGAATAGCATATAGAGGGGTAAAAGACAACGTAATTTTTGTCCCAACAACGACAGCCTCAACAGGCTGTCCATTATGGAAGATGTCAAATGAAACTGCATCCTTCGATGTCTTCGGTGTTACTGTAGCTCTGAAATTTAACTTTAATTTTCCAGAGGTTGAGTATTCGACAAATAGCGATTTATCAAGAACACAGTTCACAGTAATTGTGATACACCGATTGAAATAAAGGAAGTTGCAGAATAGTGTACAGGTAGCGAAGAAAGAAAGCGCGAAAAACTGCAGAATTCGAGGAACACAAGGCCTATTAAAAATACAAGATAATAGGCTGTACGAGATTATTACGAAAGAAGCGACATGAAAGCGGTATTTGGACGGATGAGAGCCGCGTCCAACTCCGTAATGAGCTGTCTGCAGCAATCAAAAATGCCAAATATTGACCCCATCGGTTATTTGATTTTCAACAAATGCGTGAGTGGTGCAGTCTACATATGGCCGCCAAAACACCGCCACCTGTGGGTATAGGGTGTGGGTAGCATACAATGCAGACAATCTTTGAGTCCTTACTAGGTCTATTATTTCTAATCGGCAACGACTAGTGTGCTTTCTTAGAGGCCACAGATTTAACCTATTGAAAAGAATCAGAAATCATTTCCATTATGAGGTGCGCCTTTAAGTGTTGCAGGCCTCTTTACTTGCCTTTCGGTAGCTGGAGGTCCGGCTGTGGAAATTTCAGGAGAACGATTCAGCGACACCTTCACCGTGGTCGGTGCAGCAGTTGTAGATGCCTGAAAAAAAACTTGCAAGATATGAGTGGACGAATATGAGCATTTGTGCAAGGGCAATTCGTGAGTAGGAACGACCCATCGAATTTAGGGGCTTCCCATCGAGCTTGGGAAAGATGAGGTAAGTTAGTTAATCAGAGCAGTGAGTTCTAGTAAGGCTGTCATCACTCCCATTCATGGACCCTTTTCGAAATGGACTGGCTCCGTTTGATGCAGGAAAAACACACTGAGAGCGCACGTTGAGGTGACTCATCTGTTCCGCGAAAACCTAATCGGAATTGGAGAGAGAAAGTGAAGAAAATGATCCAAATCGAAGGGACAGTTCGGGTTCATTCCTAAAGCCTACAACAGATGTCAGGTTATAGTTAGACATCAGAATGAGAAACATCGATTAAGATGCCTACAACTGTGCTTATCTCTACAGTCACCGAGAAGCAGCAAATTTGTGAAATCCATCGGAGAGTGTTTCTGAGAGCAGACTGTTCTAATAATACACCTGATGCCCCTGTCCAAGGGTGTAGAAGATGGTTTGAAATGCATCCTTCCATTTGACCAATAAAATAAGACGCCCCTACTGGAGATAGCGGAAAAATACCCCTTCCTAGAAGCGCTAGTAGAAAAGACAATAGGGAGAACGGGAACTTTGAGTTACTCAGCGAAGAGCAAAGAGAGCGAATCGAGAAAAGCATCGAGAAAGTAGGCTTCCGACACCTATGTAGTGATCAAACCGATGGCGATAGTCTATAAGATCAAGGGAGAACGCCGTATGGGAATAGAGGGACCCATCGAAACACTCAAAATCCGGTAAAGCTCCAATATTTCCCGAGGAACTATGAGCCGGAAAATGGCCAGACCTACGATGCTCTGCGCAGAGTGTTGTCCGGCCATGGAAATAAATTCACTTCTTTAGGATGAGGCCCTGAGGTGGCCCCGCGGTTGAACACAACTGGAATGGGCCAGCAACAAGGAGATGCAGAGCTGCCATACAGATACTGACCCAGATAACCATGCCATCCATTGGAAGTGTGAGGGTAGGGCTTAGAAATAACACATACTCGGTAGATCATAGAATCATTGGGTATAAAAACACTAACTTTCGTACCCAGGACTAGCAACAGAGCACCAGCGAAGAGGCCCTGAGGTGGCCCCGCGGTTGAACACAACTGGAATGGGCCAGCAACAAGGAGATGCAGAGCTGCCATACAGATACTGACCCAGATAACCATGCCATCCATTGGAAGTGTGAGGGTAGGGCTTAGAAATAACACATACTCGGTAGATCATAGAATCATTGGGTATAAAAACACTAACTTTCGTACCCAGGACTAGCAACAGAGCACCAGCGAAGTTTCTTAAAGAAATTGCGAGAGTAAGATCAAAAAAGTTCCATTGAAACCAAAGGTGAGACAGACGTCCCGTATAGGAAATTGGTGACTCCCAATACGAGCAGCAAGTCGGATCACGGGGTGGAGATAGAGAAAAAGGATAACTATGTTCTCTCTGCTTCTTGCCAACATGTTCTTGCTATAACACTGTTGCTTCGCTACCCAGCAGTATCTGTTGCGACACCGCTCACGGAAGAATGAACACGCTCTATTCTTCCCCCATTCAAGGTTGTGTCCTGAATTTGTTCCCATTTACTTACTGAATTAGGCCATACTGACTAGTACACCTTCCGCCGCCACGGCATACCAACGTGTCTCGATGAGAACAGAAGCTGCAGCAAGCTGAGTGAAAAACTAATGTGGCCTACAGCCTATACGGTAAGTGAAAACTTCGTTGGCTTCAGAGATACGATGTAAAACCTATAAAACTCAACTCGTAGATCTGGCAATTGAATCGACTAATGCTAACTGCTGCTAATTATTTATGACGTCTAGAGATTTCCCCTTCTCAAAGTTCCTACACGGTATTCGAAAATACAAGAAGAACATTTCAGTGAATACAAAAGACCTTATTAAATCGTTCACCGTTGCAGCCTTCGAAGTAGTCGTTGCCGTGGTTGTCGTTGCTGTTTTTGGTGTGGTTGTTGTAGCTGATGTCGATTCTGCTGTGTGAGGCTTGCCAGTTGTAGTCGACTTGCTAGCCGTAGTTGAGGTTGTAGCCTCTTTAGTCGTCGTCGACGTCGTTGTAGTTGTAGAAGTCGTGGGCCTGAAAATCCAAACGACCCTATCACCTCTCTCGGGTTTTCATCCTAAGCGCAGCACAAGGATTAACAGAGCACACACAAATTTTGGGTTAAACAGTGGCCACATTGGCGGTCTCTTTGAACCATAATAACTCAGAAAAACAAAAATGTTTGGCTTAATTTTCGTGTGAATAAAACTGAAATAAAACTACTCGTTAGCAGAACTCAACTAGCTATTGATGACAAGAAAAGTCAAAACTCAACGCAAAGGATAAATTAGCACAAAGGGAACAGAGATTCGATAATGGTGTAGATTAATGAATATTTACTGTGTGCAGAGGAAGAAGGAAACAGTGTTAGTGGAAAAGACGCTCCCGTTGAGACTGATTACTCCAAGGTTGGAAATTTGCGAATACGCTAACTCTATAAATAACATGACCCATACAAGCAAGAGGAACGGACCTTCCAGATTGGCGAAAAAGCGATGTAGAGCGTGGTCTTTCAGATATGCGAAAGTTTCTCCGAAAAGTAGCAGATTTCCCTGACATTGGAGTCGTTAATTTCCAGAGAGGTATGGCACTCGGTAATACAAGTGTGGTCGCTGCTTTTGCTTTGCTTTGTGACGTAACGATGTGACGCTTCTTTTTTGCCAACAATTTTTGTTTGAAGAGAAGAGCCTTTTTCGCGTGAAGTCCTCCAGCATTTGACATCGGCAAACGGGGAGCCGAGTGGGACATTTGCGGAGCTGGATGTGGCGCGTGCACTGCTGAACGGGTGATCAACTTGCTGGAGTCTTTACGACGAGGAGCAGTGTTCCTTCCTCGAGCCATGTTACGATGCAAAGTGACGGATGGAAGAGATCCGTTTTTTGATGTAATAGGCTGCGATCCAGTAGCGGTAGAAAGGCCCCTTGACTGTATTTTGTTGTTGAACTTTGTTTTAGTGATTTCCTGTTGTTTTGAATGATCCTCCTTCACGTCGTCCAGAGATGCCGCGAGACCTCGCAGTAACGCTTCCATCCGATCAGAGAGTTCAATTTTACTAAGACCATGGTTATTCTCCGTCATGCTAAACAATAATTTGGCTATTTCCTTGTAAAAGTCGGCAGTAGAATTCTTTTTAGGACCACTTTTTGAAGTGAAATTATTTTTCTGGTTGTGAACAGCTACAGTTTTCCCACTGAACTGCTTTCCTTGTTTGACTTTCTTTGACTCATTTGAAGGCAAAGTAGTTAAGTCACTCCGATTAGTCTTGCTACTTTTCTGAGGGCCTTCGAGAGCCTTGTGATCAAATGTTTTGGAAACACGGTTGAATACTTTCATTGGAATCATTAACGAATTTCTTCGTAGCACGAGCCTCGGATTGAACGGGTCCTTTTGTTTTTGAACGATCTTCCTATTCTTGACCGGTTTTCCTTTCGCTATCTTACCGTTGAACCCTACAGTTTTACGTTTGATGGCCTTCACATTCGTTCCATTTGAGGCATCAGTAGGGCGAAGGCCAACCAACGACGGATTTGCGACTGAATTATCCGTACGTACCTCCAACGTAGTACTCACCTTCACCTCTGCCATCGTGTTAAGGAGCCTGACAGATGGATGAGAAAGAGCTTTGGAAAGGAGCCTCGCTCGCTTTAACTTTTGCAAAGTTTTGTCCCTTTTACTCATTGACGGAGTTACCGTGGTTGTCATTGCGACTCTCTTCGTGGGCTTCGTCGTTGGCTCTTCAAATTCGTTCTTGTTTGCATGAGTAGCTTTTGAGTGAGCTGCTGCCTTAAAAATTGAGAGTGGAGAGAATTCATTTCTACCTGACACCTTTTTCCGTGTCGACGATGCTGCGGGTTCTGATGACGCTTTCAATGTTGTACGTGGGACAATATTAGGTGAAGTGCCCGTTTCCTCCCCTGTTTTTCGAGATGAGCCTCCTCTCAGACCTCGCGGAGACAAAAACATCGGATACGGTGAGGTTTGATTTTGTTCAATCGTCAAAGCCTTTCCCGAAAGTCCAACGGCGGCAGTTGTGACATTTTCAACGACGCCATTCTTTTCTAACAATTTCTTCAGCTCAGCCAATTGACGTAGCTCCGTCTTCTCCAAATCATGGTTTCTATGATGTTCCTCAATCGCTGTTGGCAAAACTGTCGCAACGTTTCCCATTTCTGCATTCTTTCTGCTAATTGGCATCAAAGTCGAAGTGGAGGCCTTTGTTTCCGCGCAACCCCTTGCGACGTTTGCATTTATTGCGTTAGAAACCTTTTCTTTATTTGCACAGTCAGTAACAGTTGAGAACGGAGAACTGACTGTGGAACTTATCGGGGCCACCAAATCCTCCACAACATTACCGAACGGTTTCTTGACGTCTACCGCACTCGTACCGTCTGGAAGGGCAGTCGTAACCGGCAAAGATCCTAATTTGGAAAAAGGACTCGTATTGTCAATTGAATTTTCTGACGTTTTATCGAACCGCAGTTCGTTATCGACATCAAAATTGCTAGTTGATGTAACATCCATAGTAACTGCACCCTCAACTAGGTGACTTTCCGAAGAGATGCTCGTAGAGATAGTGGTGGCAGATGTAGGACTCGTACTTTCAAAATGTTCCTCGGAAGTTGTGGAACTTGTAGTGGCAGGCGGATCGGTCGCATGCAGGAGGGGTTCAACTTGTGAGCTTTCAGGCAAATCAGTGAAGGCAACTTGTCGTTGCAAGACTTTATTGTTGTCTGCAACATTTCTTTCGGAAGGTGTGACAAAGTCGTCATCAATCTCAGAGCTCTCTGGTGGGATTTCAGGAACTGCAGAGTTTTGCGCGAAACTAATGAAATGTTTGCTATCGACTACTGCACTTGCACTACTTGGCAAAACAGTCGTTGTCACAAAATCTTCCATTTGAAAGGTACCCGAAGAGATGATTGGAGTAGTTGAAGTGTCACTTAAGTGCTCTTCAGAACTTGCAGTTGTTGAGATGATCGTACTATTAGTTGAAGGATTCCCTGTATTCACTTCCTGTGAAGTAGTACTGCCTAATATGCTTTCACTGAAAAATGATGCACTGGCGGTAGTCTGCAGAAAAACCGAAGACATGAAGAGTTCTGATTGGGAACTATCTGTGAAGGTGGTTGTGCTAGATCGGTGACTTTTATCAAATTTATCTTGGATATCTGCAGTTGACTCCCTAGTTGTGGTAGTTGTCACAGCGCTTACAGGAGATACTGGAGAGCTCTTCGGAAACGCCCTTGAATCAGTCGAACTCGGTGTACTCATTCCAAGATGACTTCTGAGAGTCGCAGTTGTTGCCGTATTTGGCTCGTAGATTGAAGTTGTGGCGGGTTTGATAGAAGAGGTACCCGTGGAGTTCATCGGGCCAACTGAATTCAGAGACCTGTTGCCTAATTGTTCTCCGAAATTCATGTCTAACTTCCCCGTTGTTGTGATGACTGGAGTTGTAACATCGATAGTGCTTTCTGACGAAGTCGTCGAAGATGTTAAACTTCGGGGAAAACTCTCCAAACGCCCAGATATGGAGCTCTTGCGCGTCAGTGGGGCATTTGCAGCCGCGGAGAGTTCGGAACCATAGTTACTAGAAATCCCTTCAATAGTTGTTCCTTCTGAAGTATCACCAAACTCCTCAGTAACTGAAAAATTTGACCGAGCGTTCAGCTTCGGTTGCCCGGACTGCGCTTCAGGGGTGGTCCTCGACTTAGAAAGCTGACGATGAAGCGAGCTCGAGTCAGTTGAATTTGACAAAAGCTTCAACAGTGCGAGCCTCAAGAGCTGTTCTACTTTGCCATAAAAACTCGGCGAAGGAGCATTGGTTCCATTATTCTGAGCCAAAAGGTCAATGTTCGGTTTCGTAACATTCGTTGAGCTTTCCGGCTCCAAGTTCAGCAAGAAAAGAGTTGAATTCAAGTTTTGTTCGTCAGCTTCAACGCCCTTTCGCTCATTTTCGTCAGAGACATTTAATGCACCAGAGATTAGTGGGGTTGGAGACGTAGTAGCGTAGTAGAAGCTGGGCGTTTCTCGGTTTGCAGCAGCTCCCAATACAAGTCCCGCCTTTGTTTCCTTTATGTCGATTAAGCCACTTAACACTTGTCCCGATGAAATAACAGATTTCTTAGCAATTAAAGGAGGCTTCAGAGTGTATTCCCGATCCCGGTCGGGAATAATGTTTGATTCAGTTTCACTTGAATGTGTCGTTGTCCAGAGAACAGTCTCCAACGCTTCGTCTTTAGCCGCAACTCTAGAGAAATAATCGAAAATTGGTGCTTGGAATTTAGTTCTCAAAATAGGAGGATCAGGCTGAAATCGAAGGGGGAAGCCTGGGTCGAACGAGAAACTACTATCATTACTTTTTGGTATTTTATCAATTTGAGGCTCTTCGACAATGTGGGCTCGTATGATTTGTTGAATAACTTGCTTGAGAGTAGTGTCGTTTGCTTGAGTTGAAGGTTTTGTTGTAGTTGTCAGAGGGAGCGGATACGTTTGCTTGAACAACTTCGCCTTTGTGGTTGAAGCTTTTTGAGATATCGACGATGTTTCACTGTTTATCGTCGTACTAGAACCAGATGTTGCTGACTCACTTGTAGATTCCACCCTAAAACTCATTCACTTGCGCAAAGCAACTCAAACAGAATTGATAAAGTGCCAAACAAATTATCAATAACCAAGGTAGCATGCACGCTCAAGCTTAACAAATAAAGTGCATAATAAAATTATTCGTCAACAAAACTAGTTATGTTACAATTATACTTCCCAACCTGTATCGCAAACAATTGAACTCACGATGGCTCCTTTCCTACCAACTGAACACTTTGACTGCTGGGTTTTGATAGGTTAAGAGGGCATTTCGCTTGAAACGTCAAATCATCTGGTGTGATAAAATACAATGGCTCAATTCCATCTGTTGAAAGCACAACATCTAATATCATCTGATCTCCCTAAAATTTGAAAGGATCAGTTGAGGTCCACTCGTTTACTCATTAAGCCCACAAACCAAACATGTGTGAATTGCACTGTTACCGTCTGAGTTACCATGTGGGATTACCGCTGACTTGGCTGCGTTATAGAATTAAGTTCACGAAATTCTACATCACTCAAACTCATCTTTTTCTCCCATATCATTTATGGGGGACTGATTAACGCCCCATAATTTTATCCTTTACCCTTAATCGTTTGCCCCGAGAAAAGTTTGTCATGATGTCTAGGCTGCCTGTTGCCAGTCCAAACACTCTTTCAAATGTGAATTTAATTTTCAGCTTAGTCGGCCCGCAATCAGAAGTCAAGGATGACAATGCTCGAGCAAAGTGATATTAGAGAGATGTGTGAAGCTTGGGCGGAAGCGATAAATGGCATGGGGCGATCTTTTAGAATCACTAGATATCTGCACAGAACCGACAAGGAAAAAATAATAAAATGAAAATAGCTCTAAAAACTCCTGCCTGAAATCGTATGCTGTCGCTGCAATTTTTTGATGAGTGTGGAGAAGGGAAGAGATATTCGAATTCGTTCGATCCCTTGGGTTCGATGCGGCATGTGAAGAAATCGTAGAGTCCATAGAGGGCTCCAGTATAGGGGAACTTACTTTTTACCTGAAATAAATGTCAAGTGATTTGCAATGTCATTTTTCGGGGAGCAGCGTCTATCGTAATGCATTTAGTGATTATGCATTATCCGCACGATACCAGTATTGTTTGTCTAGAATCGGTGAGCTATATCCTTAGACGTACTTCTATTGTGTTTAGAACCCCTTTCCTTGGTCGTTGCAGAGCATCATCCGCCTCAATACATTGCAAATTTAGATGTCATCTTATTTTTACTACACCACTTTAAACAAACTTTGTTCTACTTCCATTTCATCTATCTATCTCTCTCATCCTTTTATGATAGATCTAGCCTAATTTGAAACGAAATATCGCCCTCTTACTTTCGCTCCCGTTGATTGACTTGATCACTTCATTAGTAGTCTGAATCCTTTCACACGAATTCTTTCGACCTTTCGCGCATAAGCAATTTGATGAATTTTGAAAAAGAAAGCCGTGATTGCGTCTATGATAAGAGCTAACTTCACGACTTTGCACCAGTCTACTGCCACCGTGCAGCAGTATAAATAGGTAAGAGAGCAAGAGAAAATAGTATCTCACAGAATGTCCCACGTAACAATTTTATGAACCACTTCGTACCTTCACAAGGATCCCATCTTCTCGGCACTCCTGTTCGAATTTGAATGTGTCGGATACTGAAAGAAACATCTAAAGAATACATCATCGTTACACAACGCGTGGAGAGCTCGCACACACAAATGTAGGACGAAATTCGTAAGAACCTTCTGTTTCACTATCTTAGAAAGAAGTTTCCAGGCAGACTTCGCCTGCAACCAAGGGTGACAGCCGGTCAGCGAGAGACCTGCACGCTTGCGGCAGTCAAGTGTTTCTCCGGCGACAAACTGAGCGACTCACTGTCGCGGTCAAGGCTCGTTCACACCCTGTCATACTTCATAATGTCTCTTTTCAAAGATCTTACGATTATGCGAGGGTGTTATTCACAAACATCTGAGCGACGTACAGCGAGGGCTGCCAAACATAGGAAAAAGAGACCTCAGTTCAACCAACTGGTCGCTCAAAGTATAAGATATAAGTGGAGAGGATATAGCAAAAAACACTCCTGGGGTAACAACATACCAAGGAAAACATGTCTGACGAAACCGTCTCAACACTATTCAGTTAACATCTGAAAATCGAGTTTGCCAAAAAGCTAGGAGACCAACAATATCATGATGGCTCTGGGTAGCACGCAACATGACAGTTGTGGCAGGTAGGATGTGAGGGATCGTTTCAGCTAAAATTTAAAGTCATCATCTCGTCTTCTGACCAAGTAGAGTACTTCACAATTACCCAAACGAAATGTAGCCTTTCAAGAGCTACGCTAATGAGTTCAAAACCATAAGGCCTGCACCGGTTTGGTAGCATAAAACACAAGTAGAGATTACCTGTATATCGAAAAAATTTTCGACTACTTTACAAATCCAGTTTTTCTTTTATCTAATGTTATGCACTACCTCTTAGCTGCAGGTATACCATTCTGAACCTACTAACCCAAGCTGTTTCAATTAATAGCTCAAGATTAAGAAGTAGACTAAGAAGACACAGTCTTGCTAGTCAAGTGCTGCCCTCTCCCTTGCTCTTACATGGTAGAGTCGTAAAACACAGTTCTCTTTGACATAAAATCCTCATACAGTAGGACCCTGAAATCCTCTCACATGTTCATATGTATATCTGTCCATAGTAGTCTCATGCGAATATGTTATGTGCACTAAATCCTGTTCCTGGCTGGTCTCCCGTATCATAACAACCGGTCACATACAACCTTTTAAACATGGACTTTCCCTAATGCCGCATCGAAAGGGGCTAAGCGAGGTCAGCTATTGTGTACGACTTTAATCCTCCTCGAACTACGGAGGTATTCCGGCGCGCTGCGGCTTTTTCTAATCCGAAAAGTAGTCAGAACCAACTAGGTCAGACGTCGATGGTTAATCTAAAGAATTTCTTCTTGCCACGAACAGAACCTTTCCAATCGTAATAGCTATTCAAAAATTACCTGAAAACCCCACAAAATGCTTAGAGTGATCACTTACAATTGTAGCAATTGTTTTCATAGTAATCGATCCGGAAGTTTGGATTATTGTTGAGGTGAATTGCATGTGGTTTGGTAAGCTGGCTGTCCGCAGAGACGTGACATCCACCATCCGTTCGATTGAAAGAAATTGAACGGCATGGAACTCTGCAATAGAGCCATATTCAGATCCATGCTCTAACTCAAACAAAAATTATAGAGAAAATGAAGTACTAGCTGATCTAAATATTTCGGAGCAACGGACTGTCCAATCAACTCGATACAAGCCACCATAATCAGCAACATGTTGTATAAAAATTTTGTGGCTTCTCTGATAGAACTTGATAAGCTCATAAACTCAGGTAAGCTCACAATCGGAAAAGGTGAATGTCTGTATTGCAATACTATGAATTACCGGAGAATTTTTCCTCAAAAAAATTGCAAGAAGGCGAGAAGGAATCCAAGCGGTAATATTAATCGAGAATCACTAAATATTTGCGAGAGAACTGTTCTCCGAAAATCTTTGGAGTTCGGGTTCTAAAGGAAGACTGCTTCGTCTCCTTCTATAATTGTTTGGTGGGAGCTACAACCTAGCTGAAAACCTTGAGGCTGACATTCGCCCTGTAGCCAGCTGGTAGGAATTCCTAGGCGCCACCTTATAAAAGTAATTCAGATATTCTCTCTGAAGAAGTTGGCTTTTGGCTAGTGGTTGCTGGAAACAGATCTACACCTTTATGGGAACGGTTGCAATAGGTAACTACGTTCACCAACGGTAATCATTTATGTCAACTAATCCGCTAGAAATTAATTAGGTTCAAAGCGTTGCTCTTGAGCATTGGAAGCATATCAAAGCAAAGTTTTGTATCGAAGGCACAGTTCATAATAAAAAGGCTACTGGATCTACCCATTGTATGAATTTGAGGCCCCACCTTATACCATACCTGTCACTATAGGGTCGAAAAACGTCCTCTTTAGGGCCCAATAGGGGCCAAAGATTGTGTCATGTGAATTCCACACCATAGTGAACGAGTTTCAACGGCGTTGTAGTTGCCGCACTATCTAAAGGGACTCCTATGTGGAATGTTTCAACAACTTGTCATGACCCATGGGGACAGTGAAAGGCGGTTTTGGACAATTTCGGCTTGATGCGGTTTTGGACTATTCCGGCTTGGTGTAGTTAGCTCTTTGTGGCACAAGTGAAATCCCGTCCAAACACCTCACACGCCATTCCCGTCATGGTGATCTTGTACTATCTCCATTTCCGCTACTCTTAGAAAGCCTGTATTTCGCGAAGTAGGCGGATTTTCTCGCTTTTCTTTCGTACCATCAATGTAGTGTTCTACATCAACACTTCCACTTTCACCTTAAATTTTTCGTGAACTGCGCCCCTAACAGATCTTGCCAGAGCCTTACGGGGATCTCACAATTGTAATTACTACACATATTATATGTGGACCAGATGGGCACTTGCTTCCCCTTCGAGGACGATTAAATGGCATCGGCTTCTTCCGGAAAGACAAAGGCACTGAAATGGATAATGGTTGGACACCGCATGTCTTTTAAAGGTCTCATACACATTTAAGCGCCACTAGGATTCTAAATGGTGGAAGTCAAATGTATGGAAGTATTCTGAAAGAAGGATCGGTTCCTGCTACAATCTTTACACTGTTTATGTTAAAACCAAGAAAATGAAGAAGACACAAAAATCAAAAAATCGCCACTTCTTTTCGCTCTTTTACTTTCTTTTACAAATCTAATTGTTGAGGCGGTACAGATTGAAATTTTCAGTTGTTCAATCCACATAAGTGGGGATCGAAGTGTACTGTACACTACAAGTACTCCAAAATCAAGATAGACCAGTGAAAAAGAGACGAGTCACCTGATCCATAAAATGCAAAACGTTCGAGAAATCACTTACGACTTCTCGTCGAGACACTCTACAAGACACTCTTCTAGACTGCCTTTCTTTACGACTCGAGTGACATCTCGTGCATCCATGTAGCGGTCGGAATGATACGTGAACGCATATTCGCCTCCGCATTTACGCTTTGCTGGAAACACAAGGGATAATCGAAATTCGACTAACGGTATCGATAGATGCTACTTATGGGTGTCATTTACTCTTACCCCTAAGCATAGCGCTTTCTCACTCAGGTGAAAAATTAACGGACTGGGTATCGGAAATTGATCATTTCTATTCACCTTGATTGATTGATGATATGATTAAGCCAGTTAAATTTGAGACAAAACATGAAATAGTGGCGTCTTCAGTACCCTTGTAGCGCAAATCAGAAGCATCGTATTAAATGTGGTAGTTCAATTTTTTAATTGAACTGTTCCCTACCAGACTTCGTACCAGCAATACGATCTTCGAGCAAAAAGTACCTCAAGCACCAGCGCTTTTTACTAAAAGACGAAAATTGGTTTAGAACTTTTGCACATTGAAGAAGACTACAATAATCCCATGCGTAGATGTTATCTGGTTGTTAGATGACTCTTGAGATATTACCATAAAAATCACAAAAACAATTCCGAGATTGCTTACGTAAACTTCAAATAAAAACAGGAAATAGGTCGCGGTCGAGGACCGTCCATAAGCAAGATGTTGAATGTAAAGAAAGCTAATGATCATAAAGGTACCCCGTGATTTATCGAGTCCATAGCTGAATCTAGGCAAGAACTGCTTACTTACAATCAAGGCAGTACTTCCAATAGAATGAGTAACGATCGTCCGCTTCGACGTAACCATCTACATTCTGAAGCTGGTGTGGTTGAAATACATCGCAATGATGAGCGTAGCCATCTGGTGATGGGTGATGGTTCAATGCTGCACATTCCAATGAACGGCCTGAAAGTGAGCATTGCTATGGATTCGAGATATTCGATTTGTAGCATGAGAAACCACTACAAGGTTTTCGGTTTGAAATGATCAAATAAAACCACCTGGCGTCTGAGGATCTTCGCCAAGCGAGCATGCGCTTTCACATGCACGAAGGGACAGCCGGGCGTTAGAGATCGGCTTAAAGTTGAGCCGAACACGAGGCCATCGCACATAGAAAGGATTGCATGGCGATTCTTTTTCTGAAGATGAACATTAAGGCGAGTAGATAAGCATTGCACTGTCAAATAGGTTTGTATCATCTAAAACAGGGCACATATCCATATTTAGGTAAAATATGTGATCTGTAGGGTAAGCATACTATTGGAACTCATTTGCTTTTAGGTTGCTCAAAACGACAATATTATCATCTCAATTCTCAAGGCTCATGGCCGAATTCAATAGAGACTGGTTTGCTCCACCACTACTGAAAATTTTTGTTGCAGATCATGGTAGTGATCGGAAAAATTTATTCAAACATTCCTTTTATAAACAACAGCCTAGATTACTAACCGAACGATATATGTATCAAAAGAAGTGATACAAATAGGTGTCGCATACCTGAAATGAACTGTGATTACGGAGCGAACATATCTACATAGATCTCCTATTGATTTCAATAAATATAGCAGAGGTGTGAGAGAAAGCAATGGGAGGGATTGTATAGAAATCAGCTTATAAAGAGCTATGCAGCAGTGGAATTGAAAGTTCCCGCATGCATCCAGAGGACAACGAGAGCCATGCGCATAAACAGAACTACGGCTGAACGCATCCAGAAATTCCAAAAGCTTCCTTTCAAGGAAGAAATAAAATGAGCAGACAAAATGAAGAGCAAAACTGAATGATGAAGCAAACAAAGGTTCCTAAAAAAGGTTGTTGTGGTGCCGTGCGGCGCCGCCAACCAACTACGGTCCGAGATACTCTAGATCTTGGTCGCAAAGTCGCTGGGATAATAAGGCCGATCATTACCTGAGGGGCGATAAATGAATGTCAGGCTTGTCTTTGAGAGTAGAAGGATGAGGTAGGATGATATCGACTGATACTCGCGTGTCTTCGCATAACAAATTCGAAGTAGAAACCGTAGGCAAGGGAGCACCCCAAAAAGTCCACAGATTTTCACTTAAATTTGAAGAAGATTTTTTGAAGCGGTTACCTAACCACAGTATCCTCTCAAATATAACAACTAAATAGAATGACTTTGAATACAAACCAATGCACCGCCATAGTGCCATAGTTTCCCACGAAGAGCGTTGAGACAGTGTATAATTGTAAACTAATGACAGAGAAAAAAAAATTGATGACACATTAGTAAACAGTTAATAACGAAGACAAGAGTTTTAAGAATTTGTTTAAAAAACTGTCAAATTGCATGATGCCAAGTTTAAGCTCGCACAATAAACCGGTGGAAAACTAGGTTCATATAAGAGCCTGGAACACTGAGCTAACCTTGACAGAAAGCTTCAACAAAGAAAGCTCCCTCAATAGGTGTAAACGTTGAAGAAAGCAGAGTAGTATAGATCCCAAATGAATATTAAAAAGCTTCAAAGTTTCGAAATATTTTGGAAGATTTTTGGATGATCTAGTAACCTCACATGAACGCAACCTTACATCGGTTTCGCGGACAGCAAAATCTAGGACGACGAAATCGAAAATGAACGCTGAGCAAACGATTCTCGCCGTGCGTTCAGCCTAACGAAAACAGACCTTTTATATTACTAAAACTTCTCTTACCTATCTAGGAGCTAGTTCAGCCAAATTGAGGAAGCCACTCAAAAACGGTTCACACGAATGTTTTGACATTCAGCGAATTTACGAAAAAGAAGCATCCAGACGAGCGGATTTTACTTATCTTCCATTCAATCCTCCTGAGAATAAGAACCTGCCATAATTCCAACATTTAGCTATCACCTTCATAGCTTAATCCTGTGATACATGATTCCCTCTGCATGAGTTAGAGGTAACTTTTGATACGCAGACGAGGTTATTAGTAAACAAGCGCGTGGATATCTCTCACCCATTTTTACCTTAGGAATGCCATAACAGAGCTTTAGGTGTTCTGTTGTCACGGACCGGGCTACCGTGTTTTTGACCTCGAATGAGGATTCAACTCAGCAATAACGTTGCCACAGCTTCCACAGTGAATAGTATGGCAATAGAAACCAAACGAAAATCAAACACTTGAAATTCCAAAAAAAAGTTCGGTATGTCTGCTGACCATCTTTGAATTAGATATTTGGTAGTGTGATCGTCTAATGTGGCCTAATATCGTTGCAAAGCGCATAACTATAGAAGATTTAACCACGACAACACGAAGTACCCCAACCGATAAAACCATACACCTTGTATCCCGATTTCACGACTGAACCTCGTAATAGAATTATAGCTGGAATCGTCGGATTCATGATAAACGATCAGTAAATGAGTTAGCGTACAAAGGAATGTGATCAGCGAGAAGAATGAATTAGCCTCGATTGCGCAATATGACGCATTTCCTGATGAAGGTCTTGCCATAAATAGGTTAGAACAAAGGCATTAAGCGAAAGCTTAAGCCAAAATGAAAGAAGGGCGAAACTTTCACATTGTGAAAGCAGCCTTTTGCTGACAGCGATAGATATCACGGAAGAGCAATTATGGCAAAGTAGGTCAACGCTACCGGCGAACGAAGTGCGCGAAGTGGACTTCGTCGTATTGTGTGGATAAAATGAACAAACTCACATCACTGTTCGATTGACTTCAACGTTCGTGTTGTAAAGATGATTAGACCTATGCTTTAAAAAACAATCCTTCCCATTTCGAATTTAATCCATACATCACATCTATGCATGTGCGAGTGGCGAGAAAACTATGAAATATCGGTGCGAAAAACTTTCGCTAAAAATGTGCCCATCACCTATAAGGCAAAAGAGGTAAGGATTGTGAAAATTGCGCGGCTAGGCAGACAATCTCGGAGCGAGCCATTCACTACGACCTTGGCCTGCTAGGAAACAGATAAGGCTCGCGAGGGCGGTGAGGTTCGGTGCTAACTCGCAAACCTCCGTCGCGTCCGATACAAAAGACGAGGAAAGACCGAGTTAAACAAGGCAATCTGCCTGAAATGTCACCAACCTGATCAAGAGATCCTTTCCATAAACTGGCAGCATTTAGAAAACAATCGGTGCTCCATCACTTGTGAATGCTGAAGGAGCGAGAGCTCTTGTTTTCGTCCGTTATTTACGGCATCTGAATCCTGAATCACTGGCCATTAGCAAAAAATATATCATTTAATTCCATCTTAGCTTACGGAATTATTATCGCATATATGATGTCTGCGTTGTCAAGGTTCATAACTGGACCGTTCGAAAAATATCTAGAATTCCCTCCATGACAAAACCAAGACTGTGATCGTGGTGTGCTGAACAAACGCAGCTTTTCTAAAAATCAAAAAATCCACTTGTCATACCAAGCCTCTTCAAACACAGAAGATACTCATACTATATAGACGAAGAAAAAATAGCGTCTAATCGTCTGAATAATGCTCATAAAAAGACTAAACCCTGGTGCTAGCCAATCTTTTCTGGCATGCGCTCCGCGTCCGACTTCCATTCAGAATCGCAGCGATGTTTTGAAAGCGTAGGTGGTCTATATAAGGACCTGCAAAGGCCCGCCAATGTGCAAGTCAGTGCTATTATTCTCCCATACCAACCCTGGATTAATTGAACCTGGGCGGATGTTGATTGTCGTGATTGATCCCCGGATCATGTATGTGATAATGCGCCATTTTCCACTGAATACTCGCTCTCTTGCAGCAGTAAATTATCTGAATTACATATTTGCATTTTGTGTTTCAACCCTCATGGCTCTCACAGCTATGTACTACGATATCGTAAACTATAGAGGTTTATCATCACCTCACCTGTATCACCTGCCATCCCGTTGATCATCGACTTCCTCGAGTGGGCACCAGTAACGCCTCCATTCGTCCCTACCACGAGCCAGAGTAGTCCAGCGAACGCCTCTCGCTTCAGGGACACGAGGTCTAACATTCCTTTCGTTCAGAGCTTTCGTGAAGAAGTCTGACCATCTCGTCGTCGGCCAGCCTGGGGTTCGTTTGATGTCCCAAGGGATCCTATCAGTAACCGCCCTGGTCCAACGGTCATCACTATATTGCATAACGTGCCCAGCCCACCTGATCTTCGATTTCCTGGCGTAATCAACGGCATCCCTGATCTTCGTTCGATGACATAGCTCGGAACTCCGGATTCTCTTCTGCACTTGCGTGTATAGGGAAATTCCGAGCATCGTCGCTTCCAAAGCGCGTTGAGTAACGCCGACAGCATGCTGATCCTGCTAACATGAAGTCCAAGTCTCCGAGGCGT